TATGAATTCACTACCCTCATCTATCTTACCCTTGCCCTTGTCTAAACCACCAATTTCAGCTTCAGGATCAACATAAGCTTCAAATAGCTTATCATCATCCTCCATATCATACTCTGACTCATAAAAAATGTCATCATCTTCACTGTCATCACCCTCATCACTTAACTCTACCCCAGTTTCATCTATCCCAATTTCATCATTTATGACAGATTCAGTACCCCCCTCTGAGTTATTAACCTTTTCAATGAACATCTGAACTTCAAAGTTTGAAGGAATACAGTCAGCTATGCTAAGAACATCAGCATCAGTTTCAATTGGCCTAAAACAATTCTCATGTTTTAGCCAAAATTTGAAACTTCCCTTCTCAGTGTACCCTAAAGCATTTGCAAAATCCCACATATCTAATATACCAAATTGATCAATATCCAAAAAATCAAAGCATTCTACCTGCCCTCCTATATATGTTCTAGTTGGTTCATGCCTCATTGTTCCACCATAAAAAAATTTCATGCTAAAACATGTAGGTTCACCCATTTCAACTACGGTGTTTGAGGAAGCAAAAAAAAAAAAACAAAAAAAAAACAAAAAAAAAAAACAAAAATTAGAAAAATCAAAAATCACATTTTCACATAATTTAACAACATAGCTACAAAGTTAAGGATACTTACTGTAGTTTGGAGTCCACTGAATGCCGGATTCGCTCCTTCTTGACATTTTCTTCTCCAAAAATCTCCCAAAGCAGCGTAGCTTCTGAGAAGGAAACAACTCTTCAAATGTGAAAATGTTTGGATTTTTATGGGTTTGTGACTCCGATTTTAGTATGGGTTAGAGCAAGAATGCATATTGGATTGAAAATTTGGGAATGAGTTGAGCTGATTGAAATTGTGAAATGTGGGAAAATTAGGGTTTATGAGTGAAACGTGATTTGGATTTGGGCTTTGGGAGAATGAGTTAGAGGAAATTACTATATTGTGCCACGTCAATATTTAATTTTCAATATATTATTCCACGTCACATTTAACGGCCACATAGACGTCACGTGAGCCACGCGTGCAATTTCCGTCGAAGTTAGCTGCCGACGTTAACGGCAGAACATAAAGTGATCAAAAGTGGCAAGTTTAAGGACATATATAGCGGATTGAAATGTTTGGGGACATAAATCGTTTTAGTGGTAAAGTTTAGGGACATAAACTGTAATTTTCCCCGAATAGTTTTACTAATTTCATTGTTTCTAGTTTTGAAATTCAATCCCTTGTATCGTACGAAATAAATGCTAGTTAATTACTATATTACCCTAGTTAATTAAGGGTTTAAGATTCTACGGTAATTAGACTACATAAGGAGAAAAAGAAACAAATTACCGGTTTCTTTTTGAAGAAGAATAATATAAGAATTATAAAATATATTCATCATACACATTATGCTTTTGAACTTAGAATTTATTACTCCCTCCGTTCCAAATTAACTGTCGTTCTGAAAAAAAAAAATTATTCCAAATTTCATGTCACTTTAGATTATTATTGATGCATTAATTACTATTTTTTCAATTTTGCCCTAATTACTACTTACTAATTAAGAGAGAATTAATAGATAATGACATTAATGTCATGGATATTTTAGTCATTCTATATATTTTTCTCTAAAATCGACGCACATTTATTAGTTTTCTTAATATGTGCCAACAATTCAAAGCGACACTTAAAATTGGCATGTAGGAAGTAACTTTTTTTGCCACACCATTTTTTGATTTTGTTGCTTTCTTTTTCTTTAAAGTGTATATCAACTACAAAATTATTATTATTTTGAAGGTTAGATTTGAAGTATCTTAGAAAATAACAATCAAATAATTTAAAAAATATTGATCCCAAACAATTTATGGGTGACACAAGAAAGAAAATAGAAAATGAAAACAAGTTCATTTAAAGAGATGACCCTCGATGCCTTTACTTTTTCATTCCAAGTCAATCAAAACTTTCAGCGAACACCTTATTTGTATCTACTAAAAGGTTATTGCAGAAACACATTCAGTGAACCTTTAGCAAATGAAAATTCATGAAGTATATATTTATTTCAGAAATAAAAGAAAAGAAAATAAAATATAAAAAAATGTAGAAATATGCTAGTTGGTGGAAATAAAAGAGATGGCCTCTCTTGTTGAGTTAATTGTTTGCTGCAATATATTAAAACAATAGCAACGTATATATTTTTAAATGCGAATTTGAAAAGTAGTAAGAATTCAGAAAATGTAATTGCAGAAAAAAGTTGATTGAGTTTTAATTTAAGAAAGTAAGGAAACAAGTGTTTTCAGTCCAAATCAAATCCTTGATTTTTTAAAAACAAAATTAGATAAAAATTAAATTACATGATTGACAAGTACTCAAAATTCAAATGTGTAATTACAGAAACACGTTGACCGAGTTTTTATCATGGATAATCATTAATTAGCTTAAATTAAATAATAAGATTGACTTACCATGGTTTTTGGTATTAATCAAGTAATGAAACAATCCCTTAAAAAATTTACTACGAACTGGGAGCTAGATTTTATGTTCAGATTATGGAATAGAATGCTATTATCGCCTATAAATTGAGAAGCATTTCTAAATGTTTTTCGTCAATTGTAGTGTGAACAAGGATTCAATTTGTAGTCTAAAAATAAGAGTGGAAGTACTATCATGGAGTCTAGAAATCTGTTTATGTTTGTTTTCTTTTTGATATTTGTTGTTGTTGCCGCCGGTAAGTTCTTTTTTACTATTAAATCTCGTTCTTGTACATGGTGAATTAAATAAGTTTTTCACCTTAAATTTGGACACAACCTCACATACATACATACATATCAATCTTACCTTTTACTGTTCTTGAACTAACATACATATTACAACTAATGAAATACATTGACCCGTAAATTCATACTCAATCACACACGCATACTTATGAGTAATTATCAATACACATCTATCGTGAAATATTACTCAATGAAGTCCACGCCAAATCATTTCATTTTCATCTTGTTTGTTAATAAGTTCTCTAACTTATATTTTTCTCTGTTGTTTGTATATTGCAGAGGAAACCATGGATGGTGAATGTTATGTTCCACAGAAAGAACCTTGTAGTACCGGCGATGACTGCTTGGCACGGTGCAGTGCACAAGGCTACCCACGTGGCATTTGTTTTACAACATCTACTACGAATTTATGTATGTGTGAATGTTCGTAGTCATAATTATTATTCTGATTGATCTATAATTGATCACAATATATTTTAGTTTATCGACACCATTGTGTTGAGTTTTGGAAATAAAATGAAATAAACGACGTCTCGTTTTGAATTAAAATTATATCGTTTCTTTTGCACATTGCTTTGAATTTTAATTTTGTACAACCATGTTATAAGATTTACTCAAGTAAAAAAATAAAAATAAAAATTGGATTAGTATCCACATACTTTATAAGGTTAATAGCATTTTGCCACCTGTACTTTGCCCATTTTTCTACTTTGCCGCTTTAACTAAAAAGATTTGCACAAGTACACCCAAACCTACGTTTTTTACGCTCATAACCACCTATGATAGATATTCCGACGAATCTTCTCATTTACCGCCGCACGCGGGATGCGCATGCGGAAGCACAAAAGTTTTTTCATCTTTTCAACTTAAAATACGTTGTGGGACCTATTTTAAACCGTCATTTCTTATATTTTCCTCCATTTTTTCTTCTCCAGTGGGGCCTTTTATCTTCGATTCAATGAAACAAGAACACATAAACGACCTAGATGTGATTTTCATTCGTCTTTTTCAATTCTTCGTTCTCTCTCGTTTTCTCGTGCAATTTTTTTAGTGTTCTCGACAAATTCATTTAAAACAAAAATCTTGATGAACAGAAAACCATGGGATGGATCGTTGCAAAGAAAATCCGTCATACAAAGATCCATTTTGAAGCCATAGTCGGAGATGTCTCGCCGTTACAGTTGTCCATATTCGTCTTTCTTTCACAATTCATCACAATTGCCCTATAAGCATTCTCGGAATACCTCATTCCGTAGACTTCTCTCTCATCTCTCCCTCTTAATTTGAATTCAACCAATTAGATCCGTCCTTTTTCCACTATGAATTCGGAAATCACTGAGAAATCGCATACGACAATTAAGTCCAGTGTAAGAAGATCATGGGCAGATGAGAGTTCAAAGACGTCTACAAAGTGTTCGACCATTTGTCCAATAGAGAAATCGACTGAAGATAAATCTTCGACTAGAAAGAAAGATTTAAACACATCAAACAAGAATCAAGAAAAAACCCTCTGCTATGAGGCCGTCCTAGGATTAGCCATAGATCCCACGCCCCCATATAATAGAACATGACTTGAATTTCTCCATTTGCCCTTTGGCTCTTTCGTAAGAGAATCTCTAAAACACGATTGAAATTTAAAAAAAAAAAATCACCAAGACATTAAGTGAAATATCATAATTCGGATTTCCATTATAGTGTTTGGGACCGAATCGGGAATCATCTTTGGTGTAGTGACAAAGGAAAATTGAGAAATTCTTGAATACTGGAACGGGGAAGGGATGTGGTGTGTTTGGCTACTGGTCTTAGAATTCGGTGTTTGTTAAGGTTTTTTTTTTTTTTTTTATAAACTAGCATTTTTCCCCGTTGCGATGCACAAGATATTATTTCAAAAGTAAAAAAGAATAATCAATTTTATATATAATAAGATAATATAGTGTAGTAACATAGTAAATTTAATAATGTAGTATTATAAATGATACATTTTAAGATTTAGCAAATCGAATTTTTATCTTTATCTCTTAATATTTGAGATATATTTATGAAAAATAGGAGATTAATAATTGTTAAAAATTATAGTTAGAAAATTAGTAGATAAAAAAATATTAAAAATAAATAATTAGAAAAATACTATTAGGGTTTTTAGGGTTGCCCAACGTTTCTTTCTTTTATATATAAGATAAGTTATCAATCATTTCACATTTAGGTTGTTTCATTATTATTTTTTCTATGAGTGCAGGATGAAGGGCCCCACAGGAGAAGAAAAAAATGGACGAAAAGAGAAGAAATGAAGGTAAAAAATAGGGCCCGCATTTTATTTTAAATTTAAAAGACGAAAAAACCCTTATACTTTTGCATGTGCATCGCGCGTGCACCGATAAATGAGAAGAATCGTTGGTTATGTGCGTCAAAAAAGTTGGCTTGGTTAGGCCCGGGCGAATTTTTTTAGTTAAGGTGGCAAAGAGGAAAAACAGGCAAAGTCCAGGTGGCGAAATGCTATTATCCCTACTTTAATTTTAGATTTTTAATTTTATAGAGATGTCATGACTAATTAAAGAATTTGGCATTGTTCAACATTTGATTAATTCATGTTTTTGGACCAATAAAAAACTAATATAACATCTTAATTTTTATTTCAATTGTTAGAAGAATTATATCATGGATCCCGTGAGACAATAACTTAAAATTGGATCATTGTAAAACA